CCTCCTCCACTTGCACGTGGTCACGTGGACGTGGAGCAGAGCCTGAATGTTCTATATACACAGCCTGCCCACATTAAGCCCTCTGGACTGGAAGATGTCAAATCAACTCAAGATTTACCCACGAGACAAGCTGAGCTTTCCTTTCTCCAGGTCCCTCCCTGTCCCTCTCTTGTCTGTGTGCCAAGCCTAAAGTGGCACAGTGTGAACGCTAAGAAAACAAACTTTTGGGGATGGGGTGGGAGTGTGAGGTTAGATCACCCCAGTGGGACACACTGCACACAGGGCCCCTTTCCGCACCCCCCCCCCCCACACACACTTTCTGTTTGTCTTGTGGGCAGGCGAATTCCCCACAGGGTGGGATAGATCTCCCCTGCCTTGGCTTCTTGCAGATTTCATGCTCTTTGATGCTGGTGTGGCTCTGAAGGAGCAGCTGGTAAAGACAAACCACCATTTGTTGTTGAAAAAAAAAATAAAAAGAAAGAAAAAACCCCCAGTCTTTTATCTCGCTGTCCCTCTAAATTTCCAAAGGTCTTATTGTAGAGAGAGGGAACAAGTAGGGTTTTATCCTCCTGCCCCTGCCAGGCAGCCACGTGAACATCAAAGCTCTCAGAGCCCCGGAGGGGGGCGGTAATGTGAGTAGAGACAAAACCAGGCCGGGCTCCACCAAGGAATGCCAGGGGCTCCCGGGGAGCTGGGCTCTTTTGATGGTGCTGGCTGGGCAGGAAGAGGAGGGGCTCACGGTCTTAGCAGGGTGAGGGGAGACCCTGCTGAGTCTGGAGTCAAGTTGACACCACTCTGAGCATGGGGAACAGGATGTTCTCTTCACAATAAAAATGCCAGCTGTCTATATAAGAGGGAGGGTAGCATTGCAGGGCACAATAATAGGAACCAATTTTGTTCTGTGCATGTATAATGTGCCAGGATCTGTGATAAGTACTTTATGCCTGTAGTTTTATTTCATCCTCATCACAACCTTATATTATAGTAATTTCTATCCCCTTCTATATGAGCAAACTGAGGCTTAAAGGGGTTAAGTGACTTGCCTAAGGTCACATAGAGACAGATTTAAACCCAGATCTGTCCAACACCAAAGTTTGCCCTTACCCACTATGCTCTATGGCCTCTTATGACACTTTAACAAACAAAAAACAAGAAGAAATTAGTCTTTTTTTTTCAGTGACCAATAATAAACACAGAAGAGGTAAATGGTAGTGGAGAGAGGATGGGTTTGGATTTTGAGTTGGATACAAATTTTGTCTTATGGGTGACCCTGGATAGGTTACCTTGGATGCAAGTTATAAATTCTCTGAACCTCAGGTTCTCATCAGTAAAATGAGAATGTTCAAAGATATCTTATAGGGTACAGGATGCTTTTGGATGTAGGGAAGAGAAAACTCTCATTCGACTTGCTTCAATACTTACTTCTCACATTTCAGGAAGTCTCAAGGAAGACCAGTTTTAGCCTCGGTTAGCTCAGTGGCTCAAAACTGCTATCAAGAAGCCAGGGATTTCCTTCTTTCTGTTCTGTCATATTTGGTGTGACCAATTTGGCCCTTAGTCAAGCTAGCTGTTCTCGTGACCACGAGATGGATGCCATGGTTCTGGCATCACGTGTAGACTCATAAAAAGAGTGTGCTTTCCCTCACATAGCTCCTTTTAAGAGCATGAGACCTTACTTTTGGAATCTCTTCCTCTGGCCCTTCCTCTCAGCCATGCCTGGTTAACCCCCTGGCAGTCCTAGAGCAGTCAGGATAATGCCTCCTTCCCCGAGAAGTGGGGGAAAGGGGAACACTACACCTCCAACACTGGAGTTCTTTTACCACTGAAGGAGGGGGTGACGGTTGGGTAGGCATTTAAAAAATGTCCTGCAGAGTATCAAGTGCTCAGCACAGAGCCTGGCAGCTGCAAGGGCTTCATTTCCGTCCATCCTTTATCTGAATGAGGGGAGGCAGCCCATTCGATCAGGTTAGTTCCCAATTATGGGTTGTTTTTAAAAAGATATACTGTGATGCCTTTATGCAACCCAACAGCTCAATGAAACAAAAACTATTGAGCAATTGTCCTGGCTGAGAAGTCTTTATGAATGGAGAGGGACAACAGAAGATCCATTTATCTTACTGAGAGGTAATTTCCAGGAAAAGGTAAACTCGTGACTTTAATACAGATATAAAATGAACAAGTGTTAAAATTTTACTTTTTTGAGGAATAGCCAGACTGCTTTCCATAGTGGTTGTACCAGTTTACATTCCCACCAGCAGTGAATGAGGGTTCCTTTTTATCCACAACCTCTCCAACACTTGTTATTGCTTGTCTTGTTGATAATGGCCACTCTAACAGGTGTGAGGTGGTATCTCATTGTAGTTTGAATTTGCATTTCCCTAATTGCCAGTGAGGTTGAACATCTTTTCATATATCTATTGGCTGCTTGCATGTCTTCTTGGGAGAGGTGTATTTTCAGGTCCTCAGCCCACTTTATGATTGGATTGTTTATTTGTTTGATGTTAAGTTTTTTTGCTTTATTTTGTTTTTTAATATATCTTTATTGATTTCAGAGAGAAAGGGAGAGGGAGAGAGAGATAGAAACATCAATGATAAGAGAAAATCATTGATGGCCGCCTCCTGCATGCCCCCTACTGGGGATCGAGACCACAACTCAGGCATGTGCCCTTGACTGGAATCAAACCTGGGACCCTTCAGTCCGTAGGCCGACACTCTATCCACTGAGGCAAACTGGCTAGGGCTGGTGTTAAGTTTTACGAGTTCTTTATATATTTTGGAAATTGAACCTTTTGTTGGAGCTACTGTTTGCAACTATCATCTCCCATCTAGTTGGCTGCCTGTTTGTTTTGTTGTCCGTTTCTTTTGCTGTGCAGAAGCTCTTCAATTTGATATAGTCCCATTCATTTATTTTTACCTTAAGAATAGAGCTGCCATATGACCCAACGCCCCCACTCTTGGGTATATACCCGAAAAACTCAAAATCATTTATACAAAGATATATGCACCCCTATGTTCATGACAGCGTTATTCACGATGCCCAAGACATGGAAACAGCCAAAGTGCCCTGTGATAGAGGACTGGATAAAGAAGATGGTGGTATGTACACACAATGGAATACTACTCAGCCATGAGAAAGGATGAAATAGCATCATTTACAACAACATGGATGGATCTTGATAACATTATGCTAAGTGAAATAAGCCAGACCGAAAAAGCTAAGAACCATACAATTTCACTCATATGTGGGATATAAAACTGAAACTTATGAACACAAACAGCAGTGGTTGCTGGGGGTTACCGGGAGTTGGGGGGAGAAGGGGGTCCTAATATGAGGCGACAGGAGAAGACTTGACTTTGGGTGGTGGACACATGGTGCTATATACAGATTTTGTAACTTAGAAATCCACACATAAAACCTATATGTTCATGCTGACCAATGTCATCCCAATAAAATTTAATTAAAAAAAATAATTTACTCATATGATACAAGGGAACTAGCCAGATGTTATAACTGGTTTACTAGTTTGCCACAGTTGCCATAGCAAGGTAACACAAACTGGGTGGCTTAATGACACAAATGTATTCTCTCACAGAATGGGGGCTGGATGTCGACAGGGTTTGTCCCTTCCGAGGCAGGGTCTGCTCCATACCTTTCTCCAGGCTGCTGGTGGTTTGCTGACAGTGCTTGGCCGTCCTTAGTTTGTGCTTGTGTTACCTCGATCTGTGCCTTCTCTCCCTGACCTCTTCACATGGGGCTCTCCTTGGGTGAATGCCCATCTCTTTGTCCAAATTTAACTTAAAAAATATTTTTATTGATTTCAGAGAGGAAGGGAGAAGGAGTGAGAGATAGAAACATAAAGGATGAGAGAGAGAGAGAGAATCTTTGATTGGCTGCCTCCTGCACCCCCCACATTGGGATTGACCTGCAACCTGGGCATGTGCCCTGACCGGGAATGGAACTGTGACCTCCTGGTTCATAGGTCAACACTCAACCACCGAGCTGGGCTAAATTTCACCTTTTGCATATGGACATAGTCATATTGGCCACCCCAATGACCTCATCTGCAAAGATCCTTTTTCCAAATAATGTTCCATTCACAGGTACTAGGAATTAGAACTTTAACATATCTTTTTGGGGGACACTATTCAACAATTGTTTCAAAGGGGGAAAAAATCAAAACAGCACAGATTTATACAAGTAAATAAAATGATGGGGTGATTTGCAAATGGACATAAAACTGTTTTTTCCAAAGGGCTAAGGATGGTTGGGAGAGGAGGATCAATTAAATCACTATCAGTTGCCTACAAAATAATTTAAATACAATGCACAGGCTAGAATCTCACAACCTGGAAGGGTATGCTATAGAGGGGTATGCATGGTTTTCCATCAAAACATAAAATATGTTTCTATACTACTGTTAGTCTATCCTGCGGATCAAGGGGACCCTAGAATCTGTAGTGCATCAGGTGGTCCTGACATTCAAACTTGCAGCCACTCCCTTTTCTAGTCCTGCTTCCTGTAACATGGGGCAGGAGGTTGGCCCACGGTTCCTCCGTGGGGCTGTTGGATGCCTGAGGCGAGCGGTGCGTCCCTGGATGGGGATGTGTGGGGCGCAGTACAGATGCTCTCTTTTCCTCCCCACTTGGTTGCCTTGGGGAGGCAGGAAACCAGGCCACTCCTTGAGGTGTTACTACAGCTAATGAGCTGCAACATCCAGAACGCCAGGAGCGGTTGCATGTATTGTGCTGACAATCTCCATTCCTCATACCTCAGCCTCCAAAATGCACAAGACCTAACTTCATGGGGTTATTAGCTCCGTTGGTGGGGCCTGTTCAAATGCTTCTCACAGCCACATGGGTGTGGGAGGAAAGAGCCAACAGAGACAGAAACAGGTATTCAAAGTGTCTATATGTTCATAGATGGGTGGAGCAACAGATCAATTTTTCTCTCTCTCTCACCCTCTCCCCAAGCAGGAACTTCATGAGCAAGTTAAGAAATTGTACTCGCTTCAGCAGCACATACATTAAAATGGGAGCGATACAGAGATGAGCATGGCCCCTGCGCAAGGATGACACGCAAATTCGTGAGCAATTCCATATTAATAGAAAAAAGAAAAAGAAATTGTACATACAGGGGCACAAGAAGGAAATCTCTTTCTCCTAGATAAAAATAACATTGGGAAAGATAAATTCAAGAATTCTCTTCCCCATGATTCATATTCTCAGACATTCCTTGGCATTCTCACTATATAGTTTCCCTTTTTTTTACTGCATTTTTTTTCTTCCCCAGAAAGAGAAAATCTTACTGGAGAAAATCAGGTCAAGCCCGAAAATGCTGAGTACCCAAGGCCAAGCTCAACAAGGCTGAGAAACTGCAGCAAGAAATGAATCCAGCGGTAACAAGGCAGCTCTTGTGAGCCGCAGCTCATAATCGGCAGGAAGGCGGTCGGTCATTCTCCTTTCATCTTTTTGCTCCACTTTCTAATTTACTTTCACTTATTTAAGCTCTTACTAGTTTCCTAAGCATCATTCTGACCAGAAGTCCCCAAGCAGATGTCCTTCCCTACTCAAGTCTCAATTGTAAGTTCTATTTCAACACCATAGGCCTCTCCAGGCAGAACCCTCAGCCTTTTTCTTTCCTGCTATTGACACTTCTGTATCTTTGGGACCATGGCACGTCTATATCTTAGGGACCATACACTCTTTCAAGACTTTGTCAACTCCCTCACCTATCCCTTCTTTTCAAAATTTTCCCCTTAATTAAATGTTGACTGCATGGCAGGCAATTGGCTAAGCACTTTACTGCATTATTATATCTTGCCGTCAAAGCAGCTCCGTGGGGCAGGTACAGTTACGATTCCCAGTCTACAATCAAGAAAACAAGGTTTAAGGAGGTCATAAGACCTTCCCAGGGGCCTATGGTGAAGTTGAAGAGTGAGGATTTGAACCCAGGCTTAACTGACTGAAAAGCCACTATAATTTACGTGCTTGATCATGTATCATGGGGAGAAACTTCTGTTATGAGATTGTAGGGAAATAATACTGAAATCAATATACTTTGTCAGCTACAAAACCTTTAAGGATACTTGAGCTGCTGGAGATGACTCAGGGTGAGGCATTTGAGCTAGGTAAACTATGGCGAGTTATTGGCATTCCTGCCATGGGATACTGCCCTCTTTTCATTGGATTGCTTCCTTTCGTGAACTTTCCCCAAAGGAATTGCTAATCTCTCTGAAGAGGAAAGGTTACATGATTTTTGGGGGGTGAGACCTTTAATGAATCCTGGCCGGATAGGATGGTCTTGAGTTAAATTTAGAAAAATGTGAAGTGTTTTTGAGATCCCCCATTGCTCATTTTTGTTATTCTTTTCCTCTTTAAAATAAATCTACTGCCCTAGCTGGTTTGGCTCAGTGGGTAGAGCATGGGCCTGTGGACTGAAGGGTCCTGGGTTCATTTCCAGTCAAGGGCACATGCCTGGGTTGGGGGCTTGATCCCCAGTAGGGGCATGCAGGAGGCAGCTGGTCAATGATTCTCTTTCATCATTGATGTTTCTATCTCTCTCTCTCCTTCTCCCTTCCTTTTTGAAATCAATAAAAATATATTAAAAAAAATAAATCTACTGACAGATTCCTTGCTTGACCAAAATTTAGTCAGGCTCCTGAACTTTCTCCTGGGCCCGTTTGTGTGCTCCTCAACAAATTTAGTTTTAGCAAGAACTCTGGTAAGTCAGTTTTACCAGAACCCCGCCCCCGCCCCTCCTCAATATCTGCTCACCCTCAGTATCTGACCAGGTTCCTCATCCCCCAACATTTTTCGGGTGATGTCTGATCACCCTGGCCTGTCTCCAACAAGAATTCTGTTTGGTGGGTTTAGCCAGAACCCTTCTTACCCCTCTTGCTTCTTAGTAATTTCCCATCCACTGCCCCACCCTGCTCCTTGGCTGTAACTTCCCACTTGCCATGCTGCATTCAGAGTTGAGCTCAATCTCTCTCCGCTACTGCGAAATCTCACTGCAGAGCTCTCTAACCTATCGTGATGGTCCTAATAGTCTGCCTTATCATCTTTAACAAGTGTCATGGATTTTTTTCCCTTAGTAGTTGTGGTGCTGTGACTCAGGCAGGATCAGATTCATCACTGGATCCCAGACCGCTCACCCAGGACCTCAAGGGCGCACTTTGACTGAGGATCTGATTCCTGAACCAGCACTCGAGACAGACATGTGTTGAAGCTGGTAAGGGCAGATTTTGATTCCTAAGATTCTGAGTCTACCCCAGAAGCTGAGCCAGAGTCCCAGGCTTCCTTGTTTGAAGAGGACCTGCTGAGCCTGAAGTCTCTTCTCCCTGGCTTTTTCCTGAGTGGGGATTATTCCCTGACTCTGGTCTAGAAGTGCTTCTTTTAGGCTCTCCGGGATGCCTCTATATGCTCTCTATTGGACTTTACTTCTCCCGTGAGAGCTTCTCAGTCAACTGAAACCCCCTTCTTGAACCTCTACTGACCTAATGCTCTGCCAACTCTGCTATTTTCCTTGTTGACATGATTTTGCTGAGGATAATTTGGAACTTCACTGGCCTCCTTGCAAAACTTACATTCTCCCCAAACTGGTTCCTGTAAGACCACTCTTTTCCCATTGTGTCTGTGCCCACTTCCTCCTCTTACCATCTTCAGTATTCCCTCCAGTTCTCTTAAATACTTTTATATGTCCCCCCTCACACATCTGTCTCCTCCATCCCTCTGGCCACCTGCCAGACTCTTCTCACTTCAACCCCTCAGCTCCCTGCTGCCACTTGAATTTTAACCCCCCTTACCCTCCATCAGGGGCTCTCAGGTGACTTGGGACCTCCAAAAGCAATCACCTGAGGCTAAAAATAGAAACAACACCACCTGTATAGAAGCAGAAATTAATATTTTGTCTATTCAGATGTGCACTGGAGATATCCAGACAGCTGCTAGATAACTCCTCAGTCACTGCCCTAAGACTTAGTCCACAGCCTCCATCAGATTAGACATCAGGGCAAAAGAAAGTCTTAGAAGTCTTCACAAATATAGGCTCACAGGTAACCTTCACTTGTCCTATTTGCTGGAAATGCAATTTAGGTAAAGATATAAAGTGGAGATAAACCAGTGAGTTACTATTACTATATTTTATTGACTCATGACTAAAATTGTAGAATGAAAGCTGTAACATCTCTGTTTGCATCTGCCTGTATGTTTATGTATGCATGTAAACTACATGTATGCAATATTTTTCCATCTCTGAATATTACCAATTTAATTTATAAACATCCTCAATGGAGTTCTATTAGAATTAGCTTAGAAGGAAATAAATACTTACATAAACTAAGTCTTCCTAAAACTCTCAGAAATATAGAAATTAATCCAAGTTTTTTGTTGTTTTGTTTTTTAATTCACTTGATCTGGGATATTCTTTGGTAAATAAAGGTAGTTTTAAAATAGTTTGTAAAATAAAACAGGGATGTCTTCAGAGTTTTTAGCATTAAATGTAATGCAGATGTACATTGTTTTCTTACCAAGATTTACCAGTCAAACATGCTTATGTGATCTCTACTACATATTTATGATTATAACACTATAAATCAAACCTCAGAACAAAATATACAATAAAAAGTAATTTCTTGATGCATGTCGAAGATGATAAGTAAAACCAAAAAAAAGGGAAGAGCCATAATTTTAAATTTAGGCCTTTGTTTGTTTAATTTTTTATTGATACTTTCCTGATTTGTCAACAAGAAAAACAATTTAAGATAATGGCTTTTTTTGTTTAATGTTTCCTAAAACTTTTATAAGCAATTCAAGCATAATTATAAGAACAGCTGAATTAAATAGATTAAAATAGGATACAAATTTATAAATAAACTTTTCAACAATTATGATTTATACTATGTCTAAAAATAATTATAAAAAGCTTTTGATAACTTGAACCTTAAAGTTATACTGTTGAAATAATGATGAGTTTCACTGAATATCCAGATCATTTCCAAATAAGATGACATCTTAGTAAATTAATTGCTGAATATAAGTAAAGTTTATTTACTTTCGGCATTTTGTTTTTATATGGTACATAGAAGCTAAAATATATGGGTCTGTTAATAAATATGAGAATCTTTACGATGAAAAAGACATATGCCTCTAGAATTGTAAAATGATGTGTTCAGATATTTGCTATAGAATAATTGTGACAGTTCATAATTGCTCGCTTCTAGTTTTCATTGAAAATTAAGATTATTAATAGTTAAAAAGTCTAAATTGTAAATAAATCTACTAGAATTAATAAGAGTTAAGAAAAAAAACCTCTGCATATAAGGAAAAGAAGATGTATTTACAATAAGAAAGGCATGAAGTATGTATTTTTGTTAGGGGAAAAGGAGAGTAATTTTGTCTGAATGTAGAACGACTGTTCCAGAATGAGAGAAGAAAAGAGTATCACAAAAATGAATAAATTAAAAACTATTTTTGGAAGGTTTTTGAACAAGGAATCATGAAAAGGAATTTTTTCTTGTGTGGCCAATGCTGCCCAACATTGGATGGATTTATTTGTATGAGTTTTTAAAAAATTAGTCTTGGTATTAATAGTACACAGATGCAAGACTAGAACTTGGTTTTCCCTCTTTGAAACAAAACCATTTTCTTAGATTATTAGTCTGCTCTTAATAAGAAATTGTGAAAAAGGTTTTCCTTTGCCCTTTAATTTATCTGCCCAGGAAACCAACAGTTTGCGTCTTAGAGAAGTTCCTGTGCTTCGGGTTGTCTTTATCAGGTCTTGGGTTACTTAAGAAAATCAAGACTTCTCAATATTAAAAGAACTAAGTTTTATTAACTAACTTTCTGCATTTGCCTTGGAAATCTCTGAATTGTCACTTTGGTGAAATGGTAAGTATGGTTTCACAGGGACCTGTGATCCTATGGAGTCAAGTGTTCACACCTTTAGACATTTTTGACAACTTTCCAAAATCCAATTCTAACTGGAGTCTGACATCAAACTAAGATTTCCCAGAGCACTCCTGGAAAATCTGTCACCTTGTAAAAGAGAGATGTTCGGCTAATTAGGTTTCTTTGCTATGCGCAGTTGTGTGGGCAGCGTTGTCA